ACACACACACACACACACACACACACACACAGACTCGTGTCTTTTTCGTGGACGTGTGTATAGCAAGCCTGACAACACAACGAAGCCCCGCACCGCCCCCCGTGAATAGGTGGACTTCCCAAGAGACCTCGCTCTTCGGGTGCAGGGAGCTCTGGGAAGCCGGCAGTGCTTTTGTTCTCTTGTTGTATGCAGACACCAAGGTCTTGGACTCGTAACACCATAAACCTCTTGGGCCCTCAAGCACCACGAGGTCCCATTATTTATGATGGTCTCCCTACGACCCGAGACCATGGCCTTGGATCGTAACAGAGACCCCCTATTTGTGGTGAGTGGGCGTCGAAAAAGTGAACCCTTCGATTTATTTGTAGAGTTTCAAGAATAGGGTCTACGCTCCCCATACAGGGAAAGCGCCCTTTTTTTTTCCTTCTCCGGTAGATACCTTTTCCTTTTTTTTTCGCCTTTGTAGAGACCATTTCATTTTGCACTCGTTCGTTTCTACTTTTAGTGCAAGTGCGCGGAGTGTGGATGGATCTGTGGTTGCCCTTTTTGCGACGAGACTTGCCGTTTCTTCATTAAATACTTCCTATGTTTGTGATATTTGCAATCCCACCCAAGAGCCTGGCTCAGTGGGTACACCCATGAACTGTTGAAAATACAGACCTGTGTTCGAATCCAGATGATGGAACTTGATGAGTGAAGTTGTAAAACCAACCATTTCTGAATTGCCTGGGGGCGGTGATGTCTCAAGGCCGTCGCCCTTTAGGGGGGGGGGAAAAAAAAAAAATGTAGTTTGGTAATACCTCGACAGGACATGCACACACACGCACACACACACACAAAGCACACACACAAGAAGACACTCACACGCACACACATAAAACAGGGAGAGAGAGAGAGAGAGAGAGAGAGAAGGTTACTACCAATCACACTCAAGATCTCAAGATCTCAAGACTCAATATCTCAAGATCTCAAGATCTCAAGATCTGAATGGTCGAACTCCGCCATTGATCATCGTTACAGTGAATCTGAGCCGTTGATAAGCGCCTGAGATACGTGAAAAACGCTACAACTGCTCAAATCACCACCACCCCCCAACTTCTCAAAACGTTACAGTCAATCTGTCCGATGGCCAGGATCGACGGTGCAAATCGTGAACGGCGAAGTGGCAGGTCTTTTTGTCTATGAACCGATATTTATAATTATAGATGAAGTAAGTATAAATGAATCAGATTAACAAACAAATGGTTATCCAGCGTTGTATTCAGCTAATGGGCCTCGCCACACCACTCAGGGAAAAAAAAAAGGTCGTGCATCTTCCCGCAGAAGGTGACTGGATTCATCCGTCACTATTTATACGACCACATACAGACTCACGAGGCCTCGCGTCAATCTGTGAATCGTCTTCGCAAATGAAGCCACTTACGTCGCGCAGACATCGACAAATCATGTCGAAGGCCATAAAGAAAAGAAGACAATTTTTTTATTATATTTATATTTATTTACTAGGAGCTCACCAGCAGAGACGGTAAAAACGGAAAAGATCACCTTATAAAAAAATAAAAAATAAAAACAAAAATCACCTTTTCCACCATTGTTCTGCTGGTCTTGGTCTCCGCCGCCACACCAGTGACGAAACGAGAAAAACGGTGAGTGGGATCTTCACACAGAAAGTGACCAAATACATCTGCTAGGGGACGCATCTTGCCACATTGTGATGAAGATGCATTCGCCGATTTTCTCGTTTCCAGAGTACTTCGGCGAGAGCCTACCCTTCTTCCCCCGAACAGAACATACGGTCATTTTCGCTGCACCTGGACTGAAATGTGAGCCAAATGCGGCCAGAATGAGCGTACGTTATACTCGCGGGAAGACGGGTAAGCTGAAACCACGACCCTCCCTGTTGATTGACACCGCTACGTGGTTGCTTCTGGGTGGGTCGCCCACTCCCATAGTCGCCGAGTGGCGAGGACCACCAGATTGGCTGGCTGTGCGGCACTGTCGCCCACCACATCGGATGTGTCGCTCCACCGTACAAATCGGCTGCATAGGTTTCTCGTCCACGCCACGTGGACGACTTCTGGATTACTTCTGCCACGTGCTTGCTTCTGCGTGTGGATCGTGGACCGCTTCTGCCACGTGGCAGCAGCTGCTGCCCCGTCGACTGCTGTCACGTCGACTTCTGCCACGTGGACGCTGACACGTGGATTGCTTCTGTCACGTGGACTTCTGCCAAGCGGCACCAGCTAATGCCACGTCGAGCTCACTATCCAACCTAGTGTGGGCGACATAGTAGAGCCATTATTACTCGGATCAACTTCGACTTCAATTGGACGTATATGATATAATACGGTAATAAGATACATGCTAGGGGACGTATTCGCGTCTCCGATGGACGTCCTACCGATGGCATCAAAAAGCCAAAGTGGGGGACATAGCCAAACAAACTCGAAAACGTGGGCGACCACCGAGAATGCTGAACGCGCTCCAAGAGGAGGATAAGGATGGTTATACGAAGATCATAGCATTACATAATTTAAATGATTAACCACAACCAGAATAATCAGAATAATCAGAATAATCAGAATAATTCAATCATCAGAATAATAGTCAGAATGAGCAAAAATCCAGACCAGAGTTCCAATCCAGACCTGATATCTCAAGGCCGTCGAATCCAGACCTGAGTGCAAATCCAGACAGAACTAGATGAACACTGAATTCCTGAATCCAGACCTGATTTCAAATCCAGACCTGAGTTCAAATCCAGACCTGAGTTCAAACCAGACCTGAGTTCGAATCCAGACCTGAGTTCAAATCCAGACAGAACTAGATGAACACTGAATTCCCTGAATCCAGACCTGAGTTCAAGTCCAGACCTGAGTTCAAGTCCAGCCCGAACTAGATGAACACTGAATTCCTGAATTACCTGGGACCGGTCACCTTCACGATGATATTTCAAGGCCGTCACCCTTTTGGGGGGGCCAAAAAATAAGAAAAAACGAAAAATGAATTTAATTAATATAGTGAAAAAACTTGAAAAAAGACGGTAATAATAATAATCATCACGGCGAGCCATTCACAACGACGCCATTCCTCTCAACACTTGGCAGAGCCATTCCTCTCAACACTTGGCAGAGCCATTCCTCTCAACAAACGATGTGTTTTTTTTTTTTCCCCTTCCGGTTGCAAGCAACACCCACGTTACAAACAAAAAAAAAAAAAAAAAAAAAAACGATGTGTTTCTTAAAGGCAGAGTTTGGCGAAGCCGACGAGCATACACCTGATGCTGTACTTGGCTGCAAACTCTACTTGGCTACAAACTCTGCCTTTAAGAAATTCAGAACGTCTTGTTTGTTTGTTTGTTTGTTTGTTTGTTTGTTTTAAACGTCTTGTTTTTTTATTCCCTGGGACGAAAGAAATCGCCTTCGTTTTTTTTTTCCCCTTTTTTCTCTTTTCTTCTGTTTTTCTTTAATTCAGAACACCCCCTGCAGTGCTACCTAGTGGTGCTGGTAAAAGCAAGCACCACTAGCACCTGGGTAGAGGGTCCATCTATTGGTTGGTGGGGAGCATCACCTGCTGGAAAACGGGTCCGGCGACTCCTTTTTTTTTCCCCCCTTAAACAACTAACCATACTTGCCTCCAAACTTGCCTCTCAGAACGTCTTCTTTTTTGGTTCCCTGGGACGAAAGAGCTGAATTTGGGGTATCTTTCGGTCTAAGTACAGCTAAAATCTGATTAGGAATACAAGTACGTAGGTAGTGCGACGTGAAATTGAGAGAAGAATCTACCTTCTTCCCCCGAATACAACATTACGGTCAGTATAGACGTATTTGGGGTATCTTTCAGTCTAAGTACAGCTATAATGTACCGCACGTTGTATTCGGGGGAAAAAGGTAGAGCTCAGTTTTTCAGGAATAGGAGAGGAGGCGGGGGGGGGCAGGAAACCGTCTTCTCTATTGCAATCCTGCACCTCAAAAAAAACAAAAAAGTTGATTCGCATAGAGCAATTGCGCGCGCGCACACGAGAGAGAGAGAGAGAGAGAGAGAGAGAGAGAGAGAGGGAGGGAGACAGGCCGTCATCCTGTCCTTTCCTTTTTTCCCTTTAATTACCATCCTTCTTGTTCTTTTGTTTCTTTCTTCTGCCCTGCTGTTCATGTGCAGCAACCAAGAAATGACTCGCCCGTGCTCAGAGAGGGAGGGGAGAGTGGAGCGGGGA